CATTGAACCTAATCATCGAAAAAACTTCACTAATTTAGACTACAAAAAATTATTCACTTCATCTGTACAATCAATATCGTTGCAGTTGCGCACAGAAACTGGAAGAGTAGTGCCCTTTGCAGGAACTGGTAAAGTTGTGTTGACTCTAAAATTCAAGCGCTTTGATTGAAAACCAATGGAACAATATTATGCAAAGCAAGCTTCACTTCCTCATTTCTCTGGACACTACCGACAACGCGGCAGTGGTGGGTTTGGCGCTTTGGCTGCTGGTATTGGTCGTGTTGCTATACCGTTTGCACGACGGGTTATTCTACCGGCTGCGAAAAAACTGGGCAGAGAACTTTTGATGAGTGCAGCGCCAGAACTAATTGATGTCGCTATGAAAAAGAAGTCTCCTAAACAAGCATTGAAAAACACTGTCACAAAAACTGCAAGAAAACAACTCGGTGGTGGTAGACGTCGTCGTCGAAAGACACCAATGAATGGATTACGAAGAGGAAGGTCAGTAGGGGCTCGAAAAAGAAAAACAACCATTCGAAGAAAAATCAGACCAGTGAGAAGTCGAGCAGATTTTTTCTCAAACATCAAAAATGATCGCTAATTTGTTACCCAATGAAGCTACCCATAGATCACTGGATTTGTTTGAAAAACAACCTCTTTTGATTACTTTTGAAAACCCTTTTGATCAAAAAATTGGACCTGTCTATTCACCCAATGGACCAATGCTTGAATTTGAAATCACCGGTGACCGTAATAATTTTGTTGACCTGCAAAAAATTTATTTGGAAATACGATGTAAAGTAACGCAATCAAATGGAGCTGATCTGCGATACGACAACACTGATCCTACTGTGTCTGATTCACCGTTCCTCGTAAACAACTCCCTGTATTCCCTTTTCTCTGACTGTACCCTCTCTGCTAATGGACTCAAAATCTCAAATGCCAATAGTAATTTTGCGCATAAAAGCTTTATTGGAAAAGAATTTTCTAACAGCAAAGGAGCCAAGGATTCATGGCTTAAGTGTCAGGGATATCGTTTTGAAAACAATCCCGCTGCAATAGATGCAGCTGATTTCACATCTCAACGAGAACTGGTTCGTGAATCGAGGGAAATTTGGTTCTTTGGACCCGCTGGAGTTGATTTTTTCACTTGTGACAAGCATTTGTTGAGCGGTGTTACCCTCAGACTTTCCTACAGACGTTCTCTTGAAGACTTTCTCATTATTCTGAAGATGCTGCCAAGCATTACAAGCTGCAAATACACGAAGCGAACCTATATGTTAGAAAAATGACTGTGACCGACCATGTGCTCTCTGCCATTGAATCAACTTTGCTCAAAACTCCTGCGAACTACCCATATCAAGAAGAAATTACAAAAACATTTCTTGCAACAGCTGGTCAGCGCAGCTGGCAACAGGAAGACATTTTTGCTCGTGAACCGGTGAGACAAATTATAATAGCATTGATCACAAATAATGCATTTCTAGGAACAAACCGAACGAATCCTTTTCATTATCAAAAGTTTGGATTGGAGCAAGTTACCTTGAGACGGAACGGTTTGCCAATAGCAAGTACACCAATCAGTACACAAGATCATAAACGTCTCTTCTTCAACACACTATCAGCGCTAGGTTTGTTGCACTGCGGGCTGGGAATCACTCTGGATAACTACCAACAGCACTTTATTATGTGTTTTGATCTCACTAGCACACAGCAGGCAGCTCATGACTTCTTGCATCCAGAACTTACTAACTGCTCAGTTTCACTCGATCTTCAATTCTCAAACGCGTTGACAGCAAACCTTGAAATTTTTGTTTGGGGTATACGCTCATCCAATGTATTTATTACATCCGACCGCAAAGTTACAAAGAACGTCCTTCCAATTTCGACCGTCTAAAAATGGATGAAATTCAGTTGCAGGATCTCATTCAGAACTGTAAACATCTGAAATATAAGTTTCTTGGAGTATTTGCAGCGAAAAATTTTCCACCTCACATCCCAAACAATATCTTTATGATTGTGAACACTTCAAAATCAGATTCTCCGGGGACACATTGGATTGTAATTTGCAACAGAAGAAATGTTTTATATTTTGCTGATCCTCTCGGTCTTCCTCTTTGGCAGTACACCAATCTGTATAAACGATTGAATGAGAATTTTCATCAGGTGACTGAATTGATGACACACTTTCCCATGCAAGACTCAAACTCTACCATGTGCGGTTCTTTTTGCATTTATATTGCACATTTGATTTATGATAAAAACTTTAATGGTGATGCTTCTGATTTTGCTTACATAAATGATCATGTTTTGAAACGTTTCCTAACTCACATGCTTACCCATTAACTAACAATTTAATATGGCTGTTTTGTACACTTTTCAATTTCATTTTAAACACTACATTTTTTAGTAATTGACATTTTTACCCAATTTTTAACTGAATAGCAGTAATCCGAGAAGTTAGATTACTATAAAAAATACAAAATCGATCTATGGGGGGATATCACCATACCAGCAACTGTTGCCTCCTTTCAGTACAATTTCCGGACGGGTTTCGAAACGCCGCCTTTCGGCTGAGAGTCGAGCGCCATGCGTTTTCCTCTACTCGGACCCCAAGAAATTTTGTTCCACTTCAATTTTATAGTAACAAGTTAGGTACAAGTTTTGACAATATTTCTGGGCACTTTTGGCTTTCATCAGTGTTCTCGTTTTTCAAGATCTTAACCCACTTCAACTTATTAGCTCTTTCAACCTTTCTATAAAATCAAAGCTTTTGTCATAGATTTCAGACGTTTATTTTTCAGTCTCCTGTAGACACGGAAAATGGAAATGTCAAAATTTTCAAGCCAATTTCATTATTTTAGAGTTTTCAGTGTTGCATAATTTTTCTTTGTTTTTTACTTTCATTTGGCATAAAGAAACTTTTCATTCTTATTTCGGTCAAATTGATCATTAGCTTTTGCCTAAATAGAGGTGGCGGCCGCCGCAATTGACGAATTTTCCTTTCTTTGAGATTCAGCAATAAAACATGCATTTTTGAAGGAAATCGTTCACCGCAGCCAACAGTTAAGCTACGCTGCCAAAATCTGGTGCTTTCCTATTACATATAATAGGTATATAACGTCCTTTTACATGTAAACAAGCCAATACCCCCAAACTTTAGAAGGGAAAACATGCACCGACCGAAACTTAATTCCATTCCCGTTTCCACAACGTTCAGTGGGAATACTCAATAATTTACCGAAGTTTTACATAGGGATCATTAAGTATAAAAATTATACATTGGGATCATTAGGTATAAATATTTTACATAGGGATCATTAGGTATAAATATTTTACATAGGGATCATTAGGGATAAATATTTTACATAGGGATCATTAGGTATAAGTATTTACATAGGGATCATTAGGTATAATCTATACCCAATGATCCCTGTAGGGATCATTAAGTATAAAAATTATACATTGGGATCATTAGGTATAAATATTTTACATAGGGATCATTAGGTATAAATATTTTACATAGGGATCATTAGGTATAAATATTTTACATAGGGATCATTAGGTATAAATATTTACATAGGGATCATTAGGTATAATCTATACCCAATGATCCCTGTAGGGATCACCCCCCCCCCCCCCGATCCCAGTGTCGTATATCTATACTACTATGGATCATAATTCAATAAAGGTTGAGAATTTTTTTAAAAGAATCGATTATAACTGATTATAAACGATTATAATGATTTTTATTGTTTCGAAAAATAGTAACATTATAATCCATTTTCAATCTTTTATAAATAATTCTTTTTGATAGTTATGAAGACTGACAATAAAAATTCATTATAATCTATTATTTTTTATTTTTACTGAGTGTGCGTATGCATGCTTATCAGAGAGAGTTGCCAAAATTTGGAACAGAGAAAGTTGCCAAAAGTTGGAACAGACAGATTTAATTAAAAAGAGCTTTTGTCATAGAGAACCTTTGCATGCAAAAACTACTTTTCCAGACAGAAATATGACTCAAGGTCACCTGAAATTTCAAGTTTGCCCGCAAAAGTAGCATAAATGTGGCAGACTGCTCTTTTTCATTATTTCTGTCTGAAGAAATCTTTTTGATGCAAAAACTACTTTTCCAGACAGAAATATGACTCAAGGTCACCTGAAATTTCAAGTTTGCCCGCAAAAGTAGCATAAATGTGGCAGACTGCTCTTTTTCATTATTTCTGTCTGAAGAAATCTTTTGCTATTAAATTATGAAGAGAATTACAAAAAAGGAATTACTCAAGGTCACCTGGAACAGAGAAAGTTGCCAAAAGTTGGAACAGACAGATTTAATTAAAAAGAGCTTTTGTCATAGAGAACCTTTGCATGCAAAAACTACTTTTCCAGACAGAAATATGACTCAAGGTCACCTGAAATTTCAAGTTTGCCCGCAAAAGTAGCATAAATGTGGCAGACTGCTCTTTTTCATTATTTCTGTCTGAAGAAATCTTTTGCTATTAAATTATAAAGAGAATTACAAAAAGTTGGAATAGACAGAACTAATTAATAAGAGCAAATGACTCATTTCGAAAAAACGTTTGCATCCAAAAGCTAATTTTCAGACAGAAAGTTTGACTCAAGATCACCCTAAAACTCAAACTTGCGTGCAAAACTTACTCAAAATTGGCAGATTGCTGTTTTCAATTTTTTCTGTCTGTTTCAACTTTGTGCTACTAATTTTAGGCTAATTAAATTTTCCAAATTATATTTTCACGCGGTTGTACTATGGAAAAGAAATGAAAGTTGATTTCAAACGTCAAAATGAGATTTTTTAGTTAACTAACTTTGCTCAGATGCGTTGACCTAAAAGAATATTGCCATAATTTTAGCATTTACTATATTTTGCCTCTCTTACATGTTTTAGAAAAGTGTAAATTGTTTTCAACATTATTTGTGACCGGAACGTTTTGGGTTGCTTGCACAACAACCACAGATCATGCTTGTTCATGTTGTAGATTTGGAAAGAACAATCTTCCAGCTTGCGCTTTGACAGGTGCTCAAACTTTTCAAAACTCATCACGAAAAAGCGCGGGGAAATTAAAGTTATTTGTGCCCTCATTTGAACTTAAAAGAGGTACAATGAAGACATCGTATTTTTTGGTGACTGAAACCGACAAGCATGTTGAAGGAGCCAATCATCAGTCTGAGGAAACCGCCCTCTTTGTTGATCAGTTTTGCGCCTCCTGGGACATGTCTTCGGGATATCAGGCATGGCCAAAATCAAGCAGAATTACTTAGATTAGTAGTAACGCTGGAGTTTGTAATTAATCAGTTTTTCACCAAAAAGCGTTAAAAGTGTAATTAGAAAACGACAAAGCTTACACTAAATCTTCTAAAAAACGAACTTCCTCTTAAAAACAAAAAAGTTGGGACTTTTTGACTAAACCGTTTAGATGAGTTGACTAAAGTGTGAGCCGCCATTAGTTTCTGAATAAGAAACTACCAAATTATTTTCATCAGATTTTAACAATCTCGAATATCCTCGAGTCCCAAGATTTCAAACATTTGGTGATTATTAGAAAAAAATCAGTGTTTTAATTTTTCACGATAGTTTTCAAAAATGACTTGCTTATGTGCACTAGTCTTCAAGTAATTCTGGTTATATTTTTCCAGTCATTTTTGTACCAGGCCACATATCTTCTTCAGCTCATGCATTTCATCAACTATGCTTTTATTCTTTTGATCCGCAAAGGCAAGTGTTTCAAAGACATTTTCGAGGATGAAAAAGCGAATCCAAGTCTATGTTTTAAAGGCCTGCTCGCAGTTTCACTGAATGATCAGACGATATTTTATCAACTTTTAAACACTCTGATGGTATTTCTCTATGATCAAAAGGAGGACGAAATGCCCCGATTTCATTGGATGCCGAGCTTAAACACGCGACTGATTCGCACGTATATCTTAAAAACGCAAAAATAGAGCTTAATTTTAACCCCTGACTATTTGGAAGATGATGATGAAGATAAGATGATGATCTGCAAACAAAATAAGACCACAAAACCATATCCATCCAACTTTTAAATAAATAAATAGATTTAATTAACAGTGATTTGATACTTAATTTTGATATTTTCAGCGAATAGCCGTTTTTCTAATTTGTTTTGAATTCAACTTTTCATCTTTTTAGAAAGTCTATTTATATCTAGTTAACGAACGCACGCCTAAACTTGGTTGATTTGTTCAAAACATATCTGAGCCAATCAACAAAAAGTTATGACATATCTGGGATTAGAGCGTGTACATATAACGCTAACATGGAAGCTTTCGAACTAACCTACTTGGAAGTTCAGTCAAAATATAAAAAAAAATAAGGAAATTAAACTTCATGAATTATGGCCAGAAGCCAGAAGTACTATAGATTCCTTAGACTCACTAGGTAATGAGGTACTTAATTGTGCGACATTTCAGCTTTTTTGCCTAAAAGTGAAGTATCATCGACCGTTTGGAACGAGGCTGGTTATTTTTTGGCCGTCGTGGCGCATCTAAGTATTATTTTTTTAGGCACCGGAAAAAAGTTTCTGCCCACATATGGGATCTACTGAACAATCTCCCCCTTACCGTAGGGGGATATTGTTAAGTAGATCCTCATTACCTAGTGAGTCTAAGGAATCTATAGTACTTCTGGCTTCTGGCCATAATTCATGAAGTTTAACTTCCTTAATTTTTTTTATATTTTGACTGAACTTCCAAGTAGGTTAGTTCGAAATGGAACCTGATCTAAACTACATTTTATGATTGGATAAATTAGATATTTTACCAATGTAAAGTATTTAATATTAACCAATCATGATCCATCTAACTAACAATCCACTTATTTGTAAGTGCTGAAATTACTTGTAATTTCAGCACCAGAGAGATTTGAATTTAACTTAGAAATTAGTTGAACTCTCCCGAGTACTTCAGCAGCCGCAATAAACCAGTATACCCTAGATCTATTGAGCCTAGCAGAGACTAGTTAAACAACCTGAGACTAGATAGTATAAGAGTAAGATTAGGATCGGTATTAGACTAAGAAGTTGCACGAATCTATCCGGCCGAAAATAAGATAGCGTGACGAGCAGACGGTGTACCCTATCCGAAATTACTCTATGAGTTATACCCATCGATAATAACTCATCTGGTGCGACCATAAGTCTCGAACAAGACCTTAATAGCTTAGCATTAACCAATAATAGATTAGAATTTAGACAAAACATTTACAAAATGTTATACGACAATAATTTAATCGAAATGTCTCTACGACTCAATAGATCAGAGCCAATATTCCGAACGATAACAGAACTACCCGGAATTGGAAGAAGACCTCGAACCAGAGACGACATACGACAAAGCAGAAACTTACCATATAGTTATATGATAGTTCGGCAAAAGCCAGAACAAACTTTTGTATTTAGAATACTACTAGCAATGAATTTAGATTTTCATTTGCAAACATAAAATTTTGAAGTCAATCTTCAAAATCATTTCAGGCACTAAACAAAATTATTAATATACAATAACGATTGATAAAAAGATCTCAGATCGTTTTCCAAAATTCTGCAGTAATATACAAAACATGTTTGAAAAATATTTATTGAAAAATCAAAATAAAAATTAGTAGCATGACAATAAATGATTAGTAATTATAAATCATCCTGTTGTTCCAGCTTCATCGCCTAAACATAACAGCAATCATAAGCTCACTAATATCATAAAAATACTAAATCTATTCTTTACACAAATTTAAAACATTTTAAACTTAAATTCACTTAATTTTAAAATCAGATCATCAAGGCTTATCCTTGGATCTTAAATCATTTTCTATTTAATTAAATTTAAAACTTGATCATCAAGGCCTATCCTTGGATCAAAAAGAACAACTTTGTTCTCCCCCACCCACTAAACGAGTGTCTAACGACCTCAAACGTCGATTCACTATCCAACCCTTTCTAAAAACCCAGGACTAATAGAAATTTTTGAACAAAACTAATCATTCAAATTAGGATAAACAGTGAAGAACTTCGGTTATTCATCCTTCACTTGATCCCCCCTCTTACCAGACCCAGGATAAATCTTAGACTTAGTAAGTTTAAAATAGTATCTAACGAACTACTCGCGTTCTAATTATACCTGAACCCTGTGGATCGATTTACTATTCTCCAACCCTGAACACAATCACTACCCTTAAGTAAGATTAAGTAAGTTAACATCTTAGCTTATACTAGCCACGAGAAAGTATAAAATCATTCTTCGGAATCGATATACTTTTCTCCCCAACCCTGAACAAATAGACCCAGGTTAGGCTAACAAAAAAATCGTAAGGACTAACAGTTTAAGCAAATAGAAATCATTTAACAACCTTTTGCATCCATCATCCTAAACCTTATGTCATTTAAAAACCTAGGAAATAAACAAACAATCGTTTTACACAATTGTGAAATAAATAACAAAAAATACGACCTTGTAATCACACCTCATACACAAACAGTTGGATACATTAGAACAAAACGACAAACATTAAAGAGAAAAATAATAACTAAACAAAGACAAATAACACGAAAAAGATTTTCAAAAAATCGAAACGCATTTTCAGAATCAGAAACCAACAGTTTAGACGAACTTTATAAACTAAAAGAATCAATAGATAAAAATTGCCCAATTCACGATCAATTATATTTCTCTGACTCAGAAACAACTTCAAATTCATCAAAAAGAGGAAAAAGAAGAATAAAAAAGCAGTATAAACACAAACCAGTACATTTATACAATTGGAATCAACCAATTAGACACATTGATAATTACATATTAACAGTCATCGAACGAAAAAATGAGCTCAACGCACACCCCAGGTGAAGAAAGTCCAGATGATGATGATATTTTCCCCTTTATCGTAGATGCAACCACTGATAGAGGACAGCATATATTCTGCAAAAATTTACTCTTAAATTTGTTTGAACCCGGAATCAGTCCATGTAAAACAGAATTCCCAGATGTAAAAATCAAAAGACAAATTATCGATCACTATCTAAAAGATATATGTAACCTAACACAACAATACGGAATCTACTCCATAGAATTCAGCTCACCAAACCAGAATCACAGTAAATATATAATTCAAACAGACGACCTTGATTTAGAATTCTCAAAAGTATTCTCAGAATATATAAAAAGCATCCAATATCATAACTCACAAAGAGCAAACTCCATATTCACCAATGAAGTTTTTGCGATAATATATAGTTATATCTCGATATTAGAAAACGAAATCCAGATACCAAATGTCTCACCGACAGAAACATCTAAACATATAAGAGTACGACATGAAATCACACTACTCTCTAGTTTTCTAAATATAATTAAAGAAAATTTCACGAAAGATGAAGTTTCACAACATACAAAACACGACTTACAAAAAATCTTGGCATGGTTCATAATAGATTATTTCACACATAATATTGATTTAATTTCACAAGCAAGAAAAAATTTTAGACCCCAAAACTCAAACGATGATACTGCCATCACAGAACAATCAGACTATGTTTGGGACCCCGAATGGTCTCATCCCGCATTCATAAACTTCCCACAATCAATCTCAAGTCAAGCAATAAGTACGATATCTTATGTAAGAGATTATGTACGAGTAATACCATTAACCATTGATGCAACACCATTAAACTATAATACATTTTTACCCGATATGCAAAATAATAGTTTAAACTCTACAGTCATACACAATGAAAACCTCAATGGAACTAGGAATCTTACTCAACAAGATATCCAGACACCATCACACTTCATAAATGAAGAAATCGTACACACAACAACTACACAACAAAGTATTTCACCAATACGTCCAAACTTAACAACACCAAGAAATACAAATTCTTCACAAACACAGGTAACATTACAATCAACCGTTAAACCTTCGGTTGCTCCAAAATATTCACACATGGATTACCAAACATACAGACCCATGACAATACCGCCAAAAACACGCAAAACGTTCACTAGAAACAACTTTGCAGACCATAATTATAATTACACACATCCATCAAAAACAAATTATCAACCACGAAAAAATTTTAGTAATTATACAAGATCTCGAAACTGGGATAACCCAATGGCACCACCTAACTCAGTAAATTTCCAAACAAATTTACATCCTCCACAGGATCGTAGTGAAAACTATCCATTTTTTCAACAAAATAAAAATAAAAAACAAACATCTTATCAAATGGATTACTTATCCTCAGATGATGATTTCTTACAACCAGATATATTTACACCCAATAATCAAGAATATCGTGGACAAGGAATACAGAAACCACATACATATCATAGAATTTTTTCTCCACAACCAACAGATACACAAATTCAACAACCAATTCAACAACAAAACCCAATTAATAAATCTTTTCAACCAATTCAGCAACAAAACCCAATGATTGCAAACTCGTACCAACCAGCACAAATGCAAAATGAAATACCACTCCCATATTATCTTCAACAACACGAAATAACAAGAAATCAACTTTCAAATTTTTCTCAAATGCCAAATGCAGCAGAATCATTACAAATGACGATGAATCCATACATTATGGGTGGATCATCAATAACATCAAATAAACCTTTAATGGTATTCACAGGAACAGACCCTGAATATTCTGTAGAAGACTATTTAAATGCAGTCACAGCAAATTTGATTTTAAATATAGGACCCGAACCAATTAATACGCCACTACATCAAAACTGGATACATCGACGCACAGCGTTAATACAAACAACTCTAGATGACGCAGCCCAAAAATGGTTTTCAGTATTGCCTATAGAAATAAAATCAAATTGGAAAAGATTTACACAAGAATTTTCAAAAATGTTTGACTCCGAAAGAAACAAACAACAACAAAGAGTTTTATGTAATGAAATTCGCAGATTACCAAACGAAACCATCAAGCAATTAGCAGTACGAATTGAAACACTAGTTCGAAAAGCATTTTCATTAAATACACATGACTATAAAAACACAAAGATGACAGAAATCTTAATGATGACCTTAACACCACAATTAAGGAAAATAGCAATAAAAAAGAGAGCATCCCAT